CAGCATTCTTTAAAACCAACAGAGACAATGTAAATATTCAAAACGAGGGGACTGGTGAAATAAGCACTGATATATTCCATGGGATATACAATTATGCAATCCATAAAAATGACAAATAAGAATGTTTACTACATATTTTTGGGTGGGAGGACAAACTACAGAACATGATGCATTGTATTTTTGAAATTTATAAAAGTGTAAAGCAGTTTCAAAGTATGTATAAAAATACTAAAGGTATAGAAACTAGAAGCTTCCATACTGGCGATTTTAGGGTAGTAAGATCAGTGTGTTTGGATTTTTCTTTCAGCTTCACTGAATTTTCTTATTTTTTTCCCATTGAACATGACTAATGACTTGTAGCCCAGGAAAAGGAAAAAAAGAAGAAAAAAAGCAAATCAAGATGGAATGTGCCAAGAAATGGGACGGTTTCCAATTTCTGAACATCCATGATCTGTCAGTCTCTCCAAACCTCCAGCAACTAAAATCACAATCATCAGCTTTACTTTGCAGAATGTAAAACGGGCAAGTAGCTGGTGACAGAAAGCCAAATGAATCTCAAACTCACAGAGAGCGGAATCCCACAGAATAAAACAGAATGAAGACGTACTGCGTCATATATGAAATCACAGGCTTTGAAGCACAGAATAGGTGATGAATATAACTGGCTCTGAAGGAAGTAAACTTTTTGAAAAAAAGAATAGAAGGAGAAGCTTCAGCAAAGCAATGAGGATGTTTGCAAGGCCTGACCTCGAGGGCAGAGCACTGTGGTTAGTGCGGATGATTTCTCTTGTGGGCGCACATCACAGAAAGGGTGAGTAATCACGGCTCTCAACAGGCCACTTACACATACTGGTCTGCAAGACACAGGAGTCTGTCTGAGACGTGACAAGGAAAGCTGATGGTGGGAACACGTGGAGTCAATGGCTTACAGAAGCGGCAACCGTCACACCGTGGGAGGAAGAAACATTTTGATTAATTGGTTGATTGCAAGGGCTTATTTTCTTTATACTGGTACGCGCCTTACATTGATTGGGGAATTCTCCTTCATCTCTTGTCACAGTCCCCTTTTGCTAACTTTTGCTTCAGAGGCTTCCTCTGCGGCTTTGTTTTTGGGCAGGTGGGGGGAGCAAGTGTCCACATAAATAGCACTGTTAGAATTAAAGCTTTTTTCATGTAAATAGATTGGGAACAACAACAAGAAGAAAGCCCTGTCTTTTAAGATAAGAAATTACAGAAAGCTAATGACATCTGTGGGAGCCTGCAGGAAGCAGAAAGTGGAAAGTCATTTTGTATTTCTGCCTCTTTGCCCTTTGACTGAGTTTCTTTCACAGCATCTTGAAACTGGTTTCTTGTTTCATGTATCCTTGGCATTTCTTCGAGCTTCACTACTGCCTGTGCTCAGAGAATGTGAGCACATTGGTATTTCATGGACGTATTTCTTTCCAGTTTGTTCCTTTTCCAGGGCCTGGGAGCCTACAGAAGGGTTATGGGATGCTCCCAACTTTCTAATCCCAATTATTTGCTTTCTAGGACATTCAGAATTAGAGAATCATTTTGTAGTGCATGGACAGCCAAGGGCGTGAGGAGGGGTGACTTCTGGGAGATCAGGAGTGGTCAGATGGAAAGGTCACAGAGGTCAAGACTGCGTGGATTCCACATTCCCGTGAATAAAAGGAGGAAGGAAGACACCCCCTTGAGTCCCTTCCCACTCACTCAGTAGTTGAACTTTTACCATGAGGTGACATCTCTGTGGTTTGATTCCATTTTACTGATTAAGCTGCAGATCTGAGACATCCGTGAAGATAATCGTGCCATGATACTCGCCACACTATCTATTGGAGGTAGAGTTTTGAAAACTACTAAATGGAGAACACCATTTCGAGAGAGAGACAATTCTTTAAGATACTATTAGTCATTCTGTCCTTTAATACAGATGGATGCCTGCATCAGTACCCTATGTGAGATCTTCATTTGAAAGTGGGACTAGCAGGAAGCTTTCGATGTCTAAGGGACGGGAGGGCAGGAAGGAAGCAGGGAAGAGTGAAAGAGAGAGAGACTATGAGGATGGACACATGAACGAATAAAAGAACAAAAAGTGGAGGCCAGGCATTGTCGTCAGGCTTCAAAACTTGAAACAGTAATGGACGTCATGCTGACTAATCTCTCCCCTTAATATCCCACCTGAACATCCTATCCACGATCCTTCACCATCTGATAAAATTTCCCCAGAATTGCAATATATAGATAGGTTTGCAATTATTAGAAGTAAAAACTGCAACTCTAAATCCTTCTGACCTATTGGTATCACTATAGGAAGGCACATAGGGCTCTATCCCTCGCTAAAGACACCCACTCATGGGCCCAGAAAATCGGGAAAACCTGTCTCCCCTAGGACCTTGAATCACCAATCCCAATATTCGACATACCCTACCTAAGATTCTGTTCCAGAAGACTCACGGAAAATCTCATGTAGTGATGATGATGTTAGTGAGGAATTAAGTTCAGTTTCCACTTAGGGAAAGATGTGAGCGGAATCGTCTTGGAGCTAGAAACTCCAGATTTGACCAAGATATCACTGAGGTACCTAAAGTCATGGTATTACCTATCTATCTGATGAAGCAGCCCCATCCCACGCTACTCTTTGTTCAAGCTGCAGACTAGCTCCTGATTTGTGACCGACGGCATTTCTTTTCAGAAAATACAGCTTTAAATATTTACAAAGCCAAAAACTATTTTTAACACAAAAAGGAAAAAAAAATCGAACAAAGTATAAAAGGAATGAAAAATCAGGAGGGGATATAGATCCAGAGAGCCTTAGTTTCAATTCTGCTTCTGCCTCGTATTACCTGTAGTCTTGGGAAAATTACTGAATACCCCTCTGAGCTTTGGTTTCTTCCATACAGAACACAAGGGTGAAAACATCTACCCTTCAGGCAGGGAGGTTGTCAAGATCAAATGAGGTGCCTTAGTCTGCTCATGCCGCCATAACAGAGTACCATAGATTGGGCATTTAAACAACAGAAATTTATTTTCTCACAGTTCTTGAGGCTGGAAGTCCAAGATTAAGGTGCCAGAGGGGTCAGGCTCTGGTGAGGGCCCTCTTCCTGATTTGCAGAGGGCGACCATTAGGCTGGGTCCTCACATGGCAGAGAGAAAGCACCAGCTCTCTGGTGTCTCTTCTTAGAAGGGCACGAAGCCCATCATGGGGACCCCACCCTCATGGTTTCATCTGACCCCAATCACCGCCCCAAAGACCCAATTTCCAAATACCATCACACTGGGAGTTAGGGCTTCAACACAGGACACATGAGGGGACGCGTTCAGTTTACAATACGATGCAATCCTATGCAGGGCCTCTCGGAGCATCTCTACTGTTTTGGTTTAGCTACTATTTGTCCCAGGAAGGGCATCTAGTGGTGAGAACATCTTCATAAAAGGATACATCAAAATAACAATTGACAAATCATCAACATTTCAACAATAAAGAAGCTCACGCAATGTTTTTGAGAGAGTACCAGAAAATCCAGAAATCGTTGAGAATTCAACTGTACCATCTCTGATTACCAACTTCATTTAAAAGCCACTTAGCATTCACGAGTGGACTCAATTCCTTGGGAAAGATATTTCACAGACATGAGTTCCCAGTGCTTGGCCAGTGCGCAGGGTACCATACTTCTCAAAATGTGTACAAAGTGCACAGACAGCGGAATCAGACTTTTGCACTTGTGTTTCTAATAGTGTCCCCTTTGGTTCTGTTACCTTTTTGGATCTCTGCTGTCTAACCTCTGCTGCCCGTGTAGGTTACAGGTGTCAAGATCACAGGAAGAGTACCCAGCACAGTTCTTGGTACATAAACAGCACGCTAGTGACTGGGTTACTGGTGGAAAACCCAGCTTCTCATCCTGGCCTGGAGACCCTGGACAAGTCATTTAAGCTCTCTGATCAAATATTTCTTGAATTCTCCAATGAGGCTGGGTAGCCAGACTCCTTGGTTCTGGCATTTACTAGCTGTCCCAATGGAGGCCAACTTCCACCACTTCTTTATGCCTCGGCTTCTTCAACTATAAAACGGGAATAATGGGCCTACGTGTGCATTCCTGATCTAGGGAAAGAACTCATAATGTGCTCCTGATGATTATTACAGATAAAGAAATGGAGCAAAGAACAGAATGGTCAGGTCACAGAGCTAGGAGGTAGTCAAGGTAGGATCTGAGCCCAGGCAGCCGGAGTCCAAAGCCTGCACTCTCAGACTCCTCCTCTGATGCTTCTCTACCTTTTCATAAACCTGTTGTTAATATTGTTATTTTACCACTCAGAGTCTCTCCATAAAACCTAGTGTGAGAAGTCTTTTGCAACTTGGTTGCAGGAAAAGCCTCCTCTCCCACAAGAAACTAATGTTTCCTCTTTTTTGAAAACAAGAATTGTGCAACTTATCATGTGTTCATTTTTGTCTTGGCTGCCAGGAAGCTCAGAATCAAACTGTGTGCTCCATCTCCGCCGCCAAGTTATTTCCTTCTTCCCGTATCTTTGTTCCTTATTTTCCCTTTTAATTCTTTTGTTTAAACTAACATTTTCATTTGTGTCCCTTATTGATAGAGCCCTCAAAATTATTTGGAAAGTGGTGGGTGGAGATGAAATAAGTAAACAGAAATCTGAAATTTACATGAAAACCTTGTTTCAAAACTTACCTGTTTCATTTGCTACAAAATTTTTTTAAAAAAAAAAGGTCAACAGGAAATTAAAAGAAATCATTTAAGAGCTATTTTAAAGGAGAAAAAAGAAAACAGAAGAACAGAATGACCAACACCAATAGAGGCCAAGTCAAATGAAAACCGCAATAAATATGTCTGAGGCTAGAAGTGTTTGTGCTTTCCCTGGCTGGAACCTATCATTTCTTAATTATATCCTATGTGTGTTTTGCAAGATGGGAGCTGCTGTCAAGAGGAAGGACAGCCTCAGACAGGGGAGGAGCCACGACCCACCCCTTGGTCCTCACATACCTGTACAGAAGCGAAATCCCCCGAGGCACAGGCACCCAGAATAGCAGCGCCCACAAGAACAGACTCCACCTCTTGCGACAGGACCACAGGCATGCCTGCACAGGACAAGGCCACACCTTGATTAGGGAGTCGGCCAGCAGCCCCAGCACCAGAAACACCTGACATGATGTGGCGTGAAGGCAGCAGTGGACAGCCTCTCCCCGGTCCCCACGGTGCTCCGGTCCTTGGCATGACCTGATTCTAAAGGATGTCACAGCCTGTGCCTGCTGGTGAGGCAGCCAGGAGCCCCAAGGGACCTGCCACCCCATACATCAACTCATGAGACCTCTCTGCCCAGATCTCCCAGGCTTCTGCTAGCTGCTACCTGCCATTTGGTTCAAGTTTGTTTCAACAAACACTTGAGTGCTTCAAGGGCCCCAGCGAATGCAGAGATGAATCTGACTCGGTCCTGCTCTCCGGGTCTCAAAGGGGAGGTGGATGAGAAAGAGATAACGATGGTGCAGGGGGTTGGTTCTCTAACTGAGATGCACTACGAACAGGGAAGTAGGAAGGGGGTGTGATTAATCCCTCTGGCGGCTTCCTATTTCTCTGCGTACAAGCCAAAGCCCTTATGATGGCCGGCAAGGCCCTCCAGAGCTGGTGCCCACCCCGACTGTCGCCTCCCCTCCTGGCCACGCTGGCCTGGCCTCCGTGTTTTCTTGAATCAGCTTCGGGGCCCTCACCCATGCTGTTCCTTCTGTCTGTGTCACTTCCTCCCAGATGCCCACATAGCAACTCCCTCTGCGTCCTTCATGTATTTGTGCAAACACCCCCTTCCCACTGCAGCTTTCCTGACCGTTGGGTTTAAAGGGACAACTTACCCACGACACTCCTCATCCCCCCTCTGTTTCCTCAGCATCTTCCCACCCAGCATGATTACTTCTCTTGTTTACCATCTGTCTCCCTTTGCTAGAACAGAAGCTCCATGAGGCCAAGCACTGGGTCTCAGCCACGGCTGAATCCCTGGAATTGAGACTAGTTAACCAGGATCTAGCACATGGTAGGGGTTAAATGGTGAAAGAACAAATTTCCCGGAGAGGGAACGGAGGTTCATCAGAATGGAGATGAGCGTTATGGGGGTACCTGAAGGACGAACAGTGGTCCGCCAGGCAGCAAGAAAGCCCTCCGCATGCCAGGGCTCATGGTGGGTTTAAGGGGAATAGAAAGAATTTAGAATTCTCAGAATTTTATATGTGTATATGTGTATATATGTATAATAGAAATAAAATATGTACAAAATATAAATGCATTTGCTAATCAGGAGATGGCAGCAGACTCCACAGAGGTAAGCTCTGTAGCCAGACCTAAAAGTCTTCCTCTACTCAAGACAGGAGACTGACTTTTCCAAACACTGGATTTGTCTTCCTATCTTTTCTAGGAAGACCTCCCTGACACATCTACCCCTGGGGTCCCACAACCTCCTGACTCCTCCTGCTACTCCTAGGCTGGGTCAGCAGCCCGGGCCACCCGGACAAAGGGTCAGGGAACAGAACTCCCGCATGCAGTCAGAGGGCTCCGGAATACCAGCCCCCAGACCGCAGAGCTGGCACCCAAGTCTCTGCTGGAAAGTACAGGGGTGGGTCTCTGGGAAAAGCTCAGAGTCAGTCCCACTAGCCCTGGGCCCTTCAGCAAGTTACTCAAACATTTAGCCTCGGTTTCCCAGTGTGTAAAATGGGGATGATAGTAAGACTTGCTGCACCGTTTGCAGTGAGGATTCATGAGAGAAGGCACACAGGGGGCTCAGCACATCTCTAGCCTCCATCAAGCCTTTGGGAATGGTGGCTACTACCGTCAGAATGAAGACTGACGGTGAGTGAAGGCCCTCTACACATACTTCACTGGGCTGGAAACTGGAATGGTGGGGAAGGGACAGGGCAGGTGCCCATCTACCATCTACAGGGGAAGGACAGACACCGGGCCACACGTAAGGGCTGTGTTGGCCAAATCAGGAGAGCACTGCATGCCTTTGCAGAGTCCAGGGACGATGCAGACGGGAGTGTGACTGCAGCCACCCCCGCGGACCTGGCACTTTTTAGAAGATCACAAGCACCTCCAAACACCTCCCAGCCCTTCCTGACCCTGTCAAAAGCCTAATTAGTTCTGAGCAGGATGGAGTGACCTACAGTCAGTCCCCTCCCCTTGAGAACGGGAAACCCCCCACCGGCTCTCCAGCGGCACCCTAAGCGCTCTGGAGCCAGACTGGAAGAGTCTGAATTCTGGCTGCCTTGCCGACGTGGCGATGTGGTCCTGGGCAAGTTACTGCGCCTCTCTGTGTCTCAGCTTCCCCATCTGCAAAACGGGGCTAAAAGTCCACCTCCCTCTAGAGCTGCTCAGAGGATTAAAAGTGTGATTATAAGTAAGGCACTTAAAACTGTGCTTGGCTTAGACAAAGCACTAAATTAGCATTAGCTGTTAGGATTCTTAATATTGACCTGATCTCTAAAGCCTCTCCTCATCCCTGCCACGGGGCAGGGTGGGGGGCGGGGGGAACCAACTCACTGCTTCTGCTTCTCCTTCAGGTCAGTCCCCCCTCTTCCCTGCCCACCCCCAGCCTGCTGTAGGTCCCAGGACCCTGGCGTGGGGAGACCTCACCCATGGCTTGCTTGTCCTCATAGTTGCATCCTTGACCAAGCTCTAGTCCGGCAGCCTCTTCATGCAGCCGGTTAGGCTGGGTTGGTTAGGTCCCCGCCAGGCCCCTGCAAGCCTAGGGGTGGTAAGACTGTGGGTGGCCCCAGGGGGCTGCCTGGTCATCGGGGTTTCCCTACCACCAGCCCACACCTCTGCAAACAGACCCTTTGTTTGACTTTTCTCCAAACTTCGAGTGTGTCATCTGTTCCCTGCCTGGACCTGACTCATACGGACACCAGCATCCCCTGGGTCCCCACTCTACTCTGTGGACACTGGGCAGAGTACCGAGAGCACTTTTTCTCTTTGCACTGACACTTTTGGCAGGACATTATTGTTCTTCTTTGTATCCCCCTGCCAAGCTCATGCTTGGTACACTGGTGTGCTCAGAGACGGCTTCTGAGTGAATACATGGAGGGACAAATGATGAAAATAATGAATAAGACAGAAAGGGGGGGAACCCTTGCTGTAACTGCCAGAGCTGAAAAAAAACAAAATTCAGACAGACGAACATTGAGTCCCAAGTCAATGGGGGAAACCTACAATTACTTAGTACACAACAAGTATTTCTTGAAACCACAGTTAAACTAACTGCCAGAGGTACAGGGAGATTCTTCCTCCTCACGTAGAAGACATTTTCCCAACTTGGCAAAGCCCCATTCTCCCTGCTTGCACAGAGAAGCCTGCTCCCCAAATGGCAAAGATTTGCTTACAAAATATTAAACTGCTTTTCTTTTTTTTTTTCCCTCAAACCCCCCTCTTTTTTTTTTTTTTTTTTTTTTTTGCATGGGGCTGCTTTAAGGTTAGAAGTGAACGGACATGTATTAAACACTGACTTTGAGCCAGGCAAAGAGTTTGGTGCTCACAAACTCGTGAGCAGGTACTCCTCAGCATGATCTACAAGAGGGAAATAATATTCTTTCTTTCAGAAGAGGAAACTGAGGCTCGGGGATAGGTAAACCAACTTGCCCAAAGTCACAGAGGGGATCCTCTGTTCTTTCCACGACTCCACAGTCTCCAAAGAATCTTCTAAATTCCATTGTGTTTTTGACAGGTATTCCTAAGACTCATATAGGTCCGTGGTCCTCTCTAAGCCTTTCTTTGCAGGAAAACTAGAGCAATTACAATATTTAAAGGCATCAAAGACTCTACCTATACACCCACTGCTGTGTACGTGCCTTTTACAGGAACAAATGCAAATGTGTTCTTTTCTCTGAGCGGCTGGGTGAAGGAGAGGAAGAAGGCAGCTCTGCCTGGAATGTGAACTATTTTATCTGATGCATTAATGAGTTTAGCAGAACCCAAAGCATTTAAAGGCAGATGCACTTTGCCATCACTTGTCAGTCACAGCTTCCCAAAGCAGAGGAATTCCAGCCAAAGAAAAGGTCCCTTTGTCTGGAACTGTAACTGGTCCACAGCCAGAGACAAAGGGTCCAGTTTCAATCGGAATCCAAATAACGATGAACAGCCTTTTCATTCAACAGCCTGAAGAACAGTTTCCAAAGCAGAACTTTCTGTAAAGCTGCTGTACCCCCTGCTTCTGAGTCAGCTCAGGGATGTGAGGCCTGGAAAAGGACCCACTTTCATTAAGGCTGGAGCCACGGTGCCTGGTCAGGACCCAGGGTCACTCACACCGCCCTGCTCTGGGGGGCCCTGTTTCCCATTTCCCGCAGGTGATGTGTTAGCCAAGGCAGATCTCTCCCCTCCTGCATCCTGGTAGGAAGGCTTCGTGGCTATCAGAAGGCTAGAAATTGGGAAGTCACTCAGAGATCACATTTTAAATGTGAATCTTGTCTGACCGGCGACTTTTAGATAAAATTTGGTTATCGGTTTTCTCTTTGGAAAAATTACAAGCTAATTTGGGCTCCTTTTTTAGGTCTTTCTTCTTTCTGCCTCAGAACGGCCCACATCCATAGGCTGTGGACTCTTTGGTAAAGGAAAAGTAATCATCACATGATTACGAATTGCTCAGAAAAGCTAAGAAACCTGGTTGGGCAGCGCAGAGTAGGGGGCGCTGGGCCTAGACACTCCCAGGTCACGGTCCTGGTATCGCCCGTCCCCTCTTGTCTGACTCCGGAGAGGCAAATTCATTGACCTCCCTGAGCCTCAATTTCTTTGTCTCTAAGTTGAGGCACCAATTTCTACCTCTCAGCAGTTCATGAGGTTAAATGTATACAGAGTGGCTCCAGCAACACACAGTGGGAGCTTGGTTAATGGTAGTAATTTCTGTACTCAACATCCTGATATATTTACCCCTAGACAAGGTGCTTTTTTTTTTGTACTGTCCTCTGGCTTGTGCCTCAGTCTACTTACCTCTATCTAAAATGGGGCTAAGTAATTTAATTAGTTGGATCTCACAAAGTGCAAGGGTTAACTATGCGCCTGACATTTAGTATAGCTCTCCTCTGCAGGGATCTGCAGGGTGTGAGGGGGCACAGGCGATACGATGAGGCAGCATCAAGGGCAGGGACCCTGACTCACCCAGCTGTCAGAGGAAGGAGTCCACAGGATGGGAGGCAGCAAGAGACCATGACGAAGGGACGCCATTGAAGGGTGGGCTCATGTCATGTTTGAGCTGGGGCTGTGGGCAGGGTCCATTCCCTTCTGTTTCCTTTACCTTGTCCCACTCTGGTGCCTGGCCATGGTGGGTGGGTCCCGGGGTGGGGTGGGGAGGATGCCAGGCTCCAGGAGACACCGGGGGAGAAAGGAGCAAGAGACATGAGGCCACGAGTTCCAGAGGGACGGAAGTCCAGGCTCGGCTCTGTAATACCAGCGAGCCTCTGGCCAATGGGGTCCCCTTCTTAAGGCCCAGGGATCTGCATCAGGGATCCTGCTCTGCTGTGCTCATATCACAAAGGGATCAGCCCACGACTCTGGATTTTCTCTCTCTGTGTCAGGAGCTATGAAAGAATCACAGGATCTTGGGATCTCAGGGCTCAAATTCCCATCTGCAGCCAGACCCTTGTTCCCACAGCAGTTGGGCTCTGAATTCTTTCTTCAAGACAGCTTCCTTGTCCTTCCCTCCAGACCACTTGCCCTGCCCTGTCGCAGGTCCAAACCAGGGTGGAGGTACCCCACTATGTTTCCATAAAACTCCCTGCATTTCTTACTCTGAGCTCTTGCCACACTACATTTGCACATCCATTTGTCCTTGTCAATAGACTTTGAGATCTTTGGGGGCATAAGTCTTGTCTTACTCATCTCTGTCTCTTCAATATTCCCCACGAGCGTGCATCAGAAGAGGTGCTCAGACGGTTCCATAAATACTTAAGTTATGACCTAGCCCTTGCTGACCTCTCTCATCTCATTTCTCAGGATCATGCAATAGTTGGATTCACAGAGAAGTCACTTTCTCCATCATGACTACAAACACTTCACAGTTATCATAAGGAAAAAAACATACATTTTAACCTAAAGATTCAAAATAATCTGGCACATCACCCCTACCCTCTGCTATTTCCAACCCTGTCTGGCTGTCAGCCAGGCACATTTACTGCCAGGCCCCAAATGACCTATTCTCTTCCTCCTCAGACTCACCTGTAATGTCCGCATGCATCTGCACAAAAAGGGGATTCTTGCTCAGGCCTCCGCACAGGAAAAGCGTGCTGATAGAGTGTCCGGCTGCCTCCATGGCCTCTATAATGAGGCGGGTGCCAAACTGAAAGGGAAAGGCAGAAGAAAGCATCAGTAGAGCAGCACAAGGAAAAAGCTCTGGAACCTTTACTAAGTGTTTGCCCAGCCCCAGACACCACACTGAAAGCTTCGCACACCCAGTCTCGGAGAACAAGCTCTGAGAGATCAGGTTGCCTCTGATCACTGTTAATGAAGTCACAGAGCAGGAATTCCAACCTGGGCCTGTCTGACTCCCCAACCCTCTTAATTACTCTACCATTTGCTTCCATCAGTAGTTACACAACATTGACAAAAACAACTGACAATGTTCACACAGTTCATATTAACAAGAGTTCACTGAAGCAAATATTTGTGGAGTGCCCACTGTGGGCCTGATCCTCCAGCAGGGACCAGGGATGGAGGAAGTGGCCCGGGGCGGGGGGGGGGGGGGGGTCTCTGAGTCAGTCTTCCTTCCGGAGATAGGAACTAAAGAGGTTTGTTCTTTGGAAAAGAGCATCCAATAACATCAGCAGCAGAAGAGAGCTCTAATCGCATGAAGTGAGAGTAAGACTTCAGACTGACAAAGGGCTAACCTGACCTTTATTATCATCTGGAACCAGGTGGTGGTTCTTCAGGGATGCTTCAGGAGCCAGAGCCCATTCCAGTCAGTCCTTCGTGGTCTGGGATGATGTGGAAATCACACCCTCTGGCTTGCTCAGTGTCCCGCCATATTTTCATTTCAGCCCTCGTGTGCTAGGAACTCCCTAAAATGTGCTATGCTCATCCTTGTCTTGCTCAGTTTACTCAACTCAGTAAAAATCATGGATGCCTGGGAAAATGACACCACCGTAGGGTCCCCAGGGTGAATGTTAATGTATAATTCTTTAGTTTTAACTAGGATATGCAAACAGCTAAAAATCCTAGTTTATTTGCAAGTTCAAAAACAAGAAGCTCATGAGTCTAATTTACTTGGGGTCAAGGATTAAAACCAAAAAGATGAACTGTGACATGACTTTAGGAGGCAGCCACATGGCAATGGTTGAGAAAGGGGCTCCAGAGAGAAATGAGAGAGAACTGTTTTTTTGTGTTTTTTTTTTGTTTTTTTTTTGGTGGAGAGAGAGCCCTTGAGATGTTTAGAGAGTGATTAATTCTGAGGGATGACACAGTGCCAGGTGTGGACAAGGGGGTGAGTTGATGAAGTGGAGGGAGGAGGTCAAGGATCTGGGAGGCCACAGATGGGACAGCCACCAAGAAGGCAGGGTTGGGGCTGGAGAGAGGATTCGAGTCAATGTCACGGATTTAGTGACAGTGTGATGGTGTTGCTGGGAAGGTGGTACCCAAGTGTGCAGAGAAGGAGAAGGAGGTAGTTTAGCATGAGGACAGGCTGTATCAGAGGCTTAACCAAAGTGAAGGAAGAGGGTTTGGGAAGTGGTCAGGATGTCCCCCTGACCACTGTCCCCAGGGGGTAAGATGTAGGTTAAGTGAAGCCTCTTTTGACCAGGCAGCTTGGAGGGCTGTCTCCCCCGTGACTGAGGGTGCCTCTGGGAGGGGGGGGGAGGCTAGAAGTTGTTCTGGGGACCATGGGTCATGAAATCCTGAATGCTGTGGAGGAAATTATGAGCGATGGGGGGCAGTTCGGGAGCAAAAGCACAGCAGTTCCAGCCCAGAGGCCTTCAGCTATTAGCGAATCTGGTAAGAATATGGATTAGGTAAAACTTGGGCCTCCAAAAATAATCCACAGATGTAGTGTGTTAAAAAAAATTAAAACATGTTGTACCGTATAAGGACAGATCCTGCTTATTGCATGTGGCTGATTACCCCCAGATGTTCTTTCTTAAGCTTTTGGGGGGTCATGAACCCTCTTGAGAATATGATAAAACCTACTGACCTTTCCAGAAGAAAGTCACTTACAAAATAGCATTATAAATGATTTCGAGAGGCCTACCGATGCCCTTACGTCTACCATGGATCATTCGGTGTCTGTGGCTTGCAGGACAGCCTAGTCAGCTTGAGGGGCAGGAGTCCGTAGTAGCCAAGAGCATGGCTTTTGAATTCAAGAAACCTAGGATGGCATTAAGACATTTCACCTACTTCTGGGAATCCAACCTATACCCAACCTTTCTAAGACTCAATCCTCATTTTTTAAAAAAAGTAATAGTATTATCATATTCATGGGTTTGAGAACTCCATGAATTGTCAGAAATGTTAACATGCAGAAACAATTTTAATGTGGTCTTACATTTGGTGAAATATTAATATCTGCCTTGCACGGCTGTTGCTGGAGGCAGTGTATGTACAAGACGCACAGGAGTGCCGAGTACATGGAAGGGGTGTGGAATTGAGCGCGATTCTGGTTACTAGCTGTAGTCTAGGCACTCTGCTAGGCACTTTGCTATCCTTGCTAGTCTTAGGACAAACTCAAAAATTGCACGTTGTTTTCCCCATGTAGGAGTTATGGGATTTGCCTGAGGCAGTAGGGTCTGCCTTGGGAGAGGATAGCTGCACCCCCCCCATATGCATGGAAATACCATGCAAAGTTGGTATTTCTGATACTTCTAAAACCACAGACCTGTGGCTCACGTGATTAACAGGCCAGAGTGGAGGGTAACACAAAGCACATTCCCTTGGGAAAAGGCAAAAAAGTATCAGAACAAGAGGCACTCCCTTGGGAGGGGCTGTGACAGCCTGCAACTCCCCCCGTGTGGCATTGTTGGCTGGAATTTCCCACTCAGGCTGGCAGCTAGCAACAGGGCCTTCCTTTCGGGTGTCCCAGGCTCCACTCTGTGAAACGTTCCACCCTCCCTAAATGCCCTGCCACAGGGCTTTGTGCTAAAATGATTTTGTGCTCACCTTTCTGGAAAAAATGTTTTCACAGAGAAATTTAAATTAAAATTAGGCTATTCCACTGGGAATGTACAGAACCAAATGCAAATCGAGAGACTTCAAATGCAAATAGTACTTTTTAAGGGTCTATTCTGAAAGGAAAGCTATAGATGAACAGGCTATGGATAAACTGGTTGTTTGACAAGTCTTTCAATTAAGTGTGATCAAGAGAGAATTTTACTTCATGGAGCGTTTTCGCACAGTCCCAAGTTAACTTCATTACAATATCTCTTTCATTCTATTCCTACAAAATACCAACTACAGATATCACTATAGACAGCAATTTGCTTAACTTTAACCTATTCACAACAAGTAGATGCTAGGGCAATATTCAGAGCCAGTGAAACAAAAAAAAAAAATTTTTTTTTCAAGTTGATCATCATGGGAAAATATCTGTGATCAGACTACTTCATTAAAATGCACATTTTTGCCTGAAAGATCAGCACAGCCTCGTACCTTTGCAAAAATGGTTTGAACCCCTCACAATTCAACTGGCCCCACAATAAAGCCTTATCAAATGATCGGTCTTAAATTTCCTTCCCTTCGTGGTATTATAAAGGTCATTAAGATCACTGACAAAATAAATATGATAGCTCTTAATACACATATGACCCCTTAAATACAAGACTGATTTTCCGAGTGTGTGGTATTTGGGAAAATGGAAACTGGCTCCACCCAGCTCACGTCCCGTTTAACCTCATTTATATATTCTTGGACTTCTGCTGCCGTGTTCTTACCAGGAAGGGGGCCTCTGAGAGGCAATCCCGGCCAAAATAACAACGTTTGCTAAGATGTGTACAAGAAAAACTGGTCTTGGAAATGCCTCAAAGCTGATTTCGTGCATGTAGCTTTTACAAACATTTCAAAGAAAAATGCAGGTTGGTAGAGGGGAAAGAGCAGAAGAATGGGAGTGAGACAGGCGGTTCTCGGACACGCTCGTGTTCCGACTCCACCACGTGCCCACTATCTGACCCGGCAAGGTGGTTTTCCCTCTGTCTGGAAAATGAGGACAATCCCACCTACCACTGTGGGTAGGTACTCTGGTGCCTGGCACAGCAGGTGGGCGTCAGTTAAAGGTGATAGTCCTTATCATCATGGGACGGTGCCCCGTGGTCCGCCTCTTAGCGTGTACTCAGAGGATGAGCACAACAGCTCTGATTTTCCATTTCCACGCAGTCATTTCATTCCACTCTAAGACTTTTCATACAACAGCACTGACTACCAGAAAATGAAAGTTCCTCAATACTTCATATACCTACTTTATTTCAGAAAGCCATGGCTTCCCATCCCAGCTCTGCCACTTACAAGCTATAGGAAATTGGGCAGGTTAATGAACCTTGCTAAGGTGTAGGTTTTTAATGTGTGGAATGGGGATGCTAACACCTACCTCACTTGTAAATATTTAGCACAGTGCCTGGCACATAATACCCCAAAACTATATTATTTATCATTATCATCATTATTACCATAAAACAGGATGACTAAATAATTGTCTTTACTACTGATGCACATTAATCTCCTTCATGTTCATTTTACTCTTCACTCCCTCCATTTTGACAGATGCCAGAATTATCTGGTTTTGACCAAGTTCCCATAGATAGTGCCGGCTGATTGATTTCACTGAACTGGCCAAGCTATTAAATCAATGACAGTTGCTTCAGGAAGATACAAACTGGTATATAAACTGCAAGGACTGTTTCATCTCATCAAGTTGGTCTATTCCATGTAAGACCGTATGTTCCCTTCGTGGTTGGGAAGCTCTGCTCTCTTAGCCCATCTACATGGTACCTGGACAAGTGTGAACATAAGAAAATCACTTCTGTTAGTGATACGGATGTATGGGAAAAATGTATGTAGTTCTGTTATTTGAAGGAATAAGGCTTTGAAGGAAGTGGTATATAAAGAAACAAAATAACTGAATGGCATATAAATATGTCCACATAACATTAACAAAAAAACTTTCTGTGTGTCTCTGAAAAATAAATTTGAATCAGAATTCAGTGAACTGGTTTTTCCTTTCTGTTGGTCCACGTTCTCTTACCAGAGTGGCTAAGCCTCACTTAATTAATTGTATTTTGGGATTCCTCCCAGCTCTGAAACCTGGAAAGCCATGACCCATTCCTCCAAAATGTACTTCCTAACATGCACACATACAGTCTTCTGTGCATGTACCCCATATTTGGATCACCTCGGGAGAGTAAGATTCCTTAGATCGAGATGTTTAAGCTTCTAGGATTTTGTTTTCATTTTGGATTGATCTGCAGTGTAGGACTTCCTAATGCGTTAAATTCTCCCCTCCTTCTCTCTCTAACCATCCAAACGTCTCACTGAAGCAGCTAATTATCTAAAAACAAACACTAAGGATGCTTACTATTTAAAAGAACCCTATAATGAATCCTTTTGCGAAGTGAACAATATCGTGTGTTTTATAAGTTTGCACGTTCTTAACATTGCCTTTCTTAATGCAAGAATAAATGGCATCTGCTTCTACTTAATTGAACTTGGAAGACAAATTAAATACATGACAAGTATGATGTTCAAAGACTCAAACTCCTTTCAGCTTTCAGCGATGTGAGGTGATTAGTAAAGCAGGTGAAGACCTTCATCAAGATTTCCTTCCGAAAGGACACACATCTCTTTTTGGCAAGCTCCCTTTTAATTAACAATCTCTGTCACACAAGCACATGATGTATCTTGGAGAAGCATGCGGCCTAAGGTTTATTGATAGCCCTAAGTCTCTTTAAAAATGGCATTAAAGTGTCTTACAGCAATGGCTTGAACTGTGGCCAGGTACAGAATGGCAAGATCATCAAGGTCCTGAGACAGCTTCAACCCGGTGACCTGCAGGGATGGAGGGAAGAAAAGAAAGAGACGGCCAAGAGGAGCTGCCACGGATAGAGACAGTTCCCATGAAACACGTTCAGATGTGTTTTCTTGCCCAAACAAGTTCATATGCAAATCCCCTTTTTGTGAGCTGAACGTGAAATGACTACCAAATTGTTTAATCTCCAGACCTGGGAAAAACGATCATTTCTCCTCCAAGAGAAAGTGCCCTGCCTTGTATTAACAAAACAAAACAAATACTTTACGGAGATCGTGTTTGATATTCCTCAGCATGGAATTAATAAATGTCTTTCTTCCCCTTTAAAGAAAATGTTCTTTTATGACAAACACCCATTTTCTTTGGCTTACAGAGATCGACATGGAGCAGTGGCTTCTAGTAAAAGATGATCTTACTCCGAGTTCTGCCATTGTCAGAATTCAGTGTAACAGCATCCAGGGGGGATTCAGGGTAAAATAATATGCCTCCTATAAATGTTATACCTACTAGGGGATAATTTACAATCTGTGGTTTGCAAGGGAATCCCATTAAAGTCAATCGGAACCACATGCTTCTATGGAGTGTGTCAATTTCTGAGAGATTCCAGAACTAAACAGGATGCTGGATTTGGATGCCTTCAAGACCTGTTCACAGTGCCTCCTTCACATCTCCCATTTACGAACGTCTTCTCTTGGGACATTTCTAGACGGCGAAGAACTGCTGGGTTCTTCAAGCCTACTCGGAATTTTGTGGGCATCAATACCAGCGCTCACTTTGTATTTTCACATTACAAAATTAATTAACATAACCTATGCTTACTCAGGGCCTATGGTGGGTATGATCCTGAGTGCAATGAGGTGGCGACAGGCAGCCTACGTTCAAAGAGGGGGAGCTGAGTGGTCTACCCAGGTCCCTTTCCTTTGTCTCTCCAGTCCCATTTAATTACCCTTTCCAGACTGCACCCTGCGCCACAATGAAGGGCTGCTGGGCACAGACATACTGGGCTGGGCAATGACTTACTGCTGGGCACAGACAACATTCCATGGCCCAGACCAGAGACCTGTCAGCACTCTTCCCCGACTTTTCCCTTCTTCCCATATTTATGCAGTCTCCAAGTTTTGCCCACTTGCTCCCCCAAATCTTTGTGAATCCATTCCTCCTCTTCGTGCTGTCACTCACTTCCTCAATCCAGGCCACCATTATTCCTTTGTGTGTGCTGAAAGGGCCCCTTTTCTAACAGTGCTCCTCTCCACAATGGAGCTAGTAATTGTTCTCACAGGCAAATCTGATCGTGTTACTCCGTTAAAAATTCCCTGTTGCCCTCATCTCGAGACATAAATGCCCATGCTGTTTTAGGTGCTTTCTCCCAGGCTTGCCCCTGCTTACTTCTCCAGCATCTGTACAAACCCTTCCTCACTTAGTATCTTTTGCTCCAGCCATTCTGATTACTCATGGAAGTCTGTTCATGCAGGGACTCCTGAATTCGGTAGAGCTACCTGCTGATAATTTCTCTTGGCAAATAATTGGGTAACCAGATGAGAACTACGCCTTTGATTTTAACACACAGGAACACGGAAGGTTTGAGTGAGAGACCAGAGGGGAATTCTGGGTAGGCATCCTCCCAAGCCAGTAACTCCATGAAGGAACATCCTTCATTAAGTTCCCCAGACATCTCAACACACAGTAAAAATGCTGGAAGGGAGAACATGAACACTGTTGACATTATAGAAGTTCACTTCATAACGTGCGTAAGGAAATAATGTGCCCCAGGGAACACAGAGGATGGAAACCAGACCCTAGCTGTTCTGACAGACTACCTGGGATACTCACGCATCATCTGCAAGGCCTAGCCCAGTATCTGGCACACAGTAGGCACGAAGTAACTATCTGTTGAATGTGTGAATTAGTGACAATGGTCTTTTTTCCTTTTGTATACCACTGTTTTTCCTAACATCCTAGCCTTTTGTGTCTAATTCCACGATTATGGGATGATCATGTGCACCACCTTGGCTCTCCATATATTTGCAGAGGGGAGGGTCATTTGCTACGTGCCCCAAGAGAAAACACTGGAAGATTACTTCTAGTTGCTTATTCCAGGCTCTCCATGCTCCCTCCTCTCTACACTTAGCTTCCCTCATCACAGTGGCTCGTACAAGATTGGGGTAAAAGGAGTGTCCCTGTAGCTCATACGGAACTTTCGTGTGATTTAGATAAAAGTACTCCCTCCAGGCAGACTAATGCAGAAGGCATCCCATCTGGGCGAATGAACTATGAAAAAGAGCAGAGTGGACAGGGTCCCAGCCCTGTTGTATGTCCCTTCATGCGAATGTGTGATCAACCAGCTCCATGGCATGCAATGGTCCTGGATAAAGATCACACATCATGAATGGTCTCTCTCTTCTGTACTGGCCTGGCCTCAACAGCATCTCTGCTGCTTATCTACTAGGAAAGCTAAGTGGGCCCAGGCCTAGACCTCTCATCCAGAGCCAGTGAGGGAGGCAGGCTACCTCTGGCTCCTCTCTGGTCATGCCTGCGATGTGAATCAAGCCATGATCCTTTGTGGACTGGGTATGTGTCTGCTTAGCAGACTCACATCTCCTATAGGTGGGTCCTGAAGACCAGATCTGGGTAAACTGTGATGGAATGGGGAAGAAATTTGACTTTGTGTACGAGATTAATTGACTAGGAACCCCAGTGCTATGTATAACATTGATAAAGTAACATTGATAAAGGAGGATAAAGATATCCTCAATTCATAAGAACCCATAAGGAAGAAGGGGTACAATATCACCAGATTTCATTTTCTTCATCCCCATTTTCTTCATTCATGAGAACTTCCCCAAAGTATTGGTATTCAAGCAAAAAAAATATCATCGCCTTCTCTAAATGTCTAGTGCCTCTAGAGCTCAAAAATCATAGAGGAGAGAAGAGGATAGTTACTTTTCACCAGAAACTGAGAATGAGATCATGCAAATGAGCACTAAATTTAACTCCTGAGCTTGCTAGTAGCTCCAGCAAAAGGGACATAGGATGGGTGACATCGCTTTTCTTTTTCTGATAAATAGAACATACCTTGCTTTCATGGAAGAAAATGTTATTCTAGGGAAGAAGGTACTCAGCAATAAAAGGCAGTAAGTATGCACAGCCCTCCCATAGCCACCTCTAACATCCCCTCACCATAAACACCAGGGCCACGGAGTTGAAATGTGACCCAGTGAAAGACATTTCTCTCTAAAGTTACTATGGTTCGGGGCCCTCTTGCCTGATATCTCATCTGATATGCAGGTGGAGACTCTGGAAGGGCAGGTAATCATTAATTCCATCTGAGCTTTCTCTCCAATACTAGGGACCTCAGCCCTGCCTTGGCAAATGTCAAATGGCTGTCGGCCCAAGATAACTTTCTAAGGAGTGCCTGCCACGTGGACCACTCAGGAGGCTACAGAGACCCTTTGGGGAGCCATCTTGGCAGGGAAGCGACAGCAGCACCCCTGGAATGCCAGGGATGTGCTGGGGGACGTGCGGCTTTGTAACCAGGGAGAAAGCCAGAATGTGACAGATAAGCAGATACCCCCATCTGCGGGCTGGATGGTTCCATCCATAAGAGGAAGTGGGAAAAAGCATAAATGGAAGCAGTGTGTTTATAGAAAATGTGCATGTCTATTTTGAATGTTTGGGTAAGACAGTGAAATGTGTGGGGAAGCCCCATGGGAGAGTTGTGCTGGTAAGCACATTTTATTTATTTTGCTATTGTGTAATGAGGAGAACTGCAAGAGAAAACACTTATAATTAATATTTAGAGACAGGTGATCTATATGGTGGCCAAAGAAATGCAAACTACTATTGATGACGCCAACATCCTAGATAATGGTTATAAAATACTTACGTAAATCTTGGTATTTTTGAGCTTGGAAGAGATGTGTGGGGGAATGGAAAGATGACAAGCTATGAAGACACCAAGGTTCAGATCTTGACATTCTCCCAACTGGCTGCACAACGGTGTGAGTTTTGTGACCTTTCTGAGCCTCAATTTTTTTTTTCATTTATGAAATAGGGATAATGATGCCTCAAGGCATTTTTGTGAAGATTAAATATCATTTGCAAAGTGTCTTACTTTTTCAGGAAGCTAGACTGAGTCTACAAGAGCTAAACCCTTATAGAGCCAACTCTGAGCATAGGTGGCAATTAACGTTGATTTTCTTTCCCTTTCTCTTAATAAATGTGCATTCTCTTTCTCTTAAATGCATGAAGGGTTCAATCCCATTTATTAATTGGAATGTGGCAATAAAGCATCTCCTTCAACATGGTATGGGTACCCCCAGGGTATTAATGAGGGGCACTGAAGACTAGTGCATATACGGCATGGGGAAGACAGGGCAAAAGGCATGTTAACCATCAGCATCAGGATCATAATATTAAAGATAAGAACATCAAGAGTGTGGAGAAGCAGTATGCCCCTGATCAGTGCCCAGGGATAGGATGATGGGGGACTCACTTTCAAGGACTGCTTAGAGAAGCCTTAGTCCTTATCAACCTACACACTTCCATTCACTCTGTAAATAGGAAGGACAGATGAATTTCACCCTGGACTTCACCTTAAATCTTGCCGCCACTTAGTAGCTATGAGAGCTTGGGCATGTTTCTAGCCCTTTCCCAGGATCCTAGCTGAATGGAGATTTTCTGAACTCCAACTCCAGATTTATTGACTCTTTGGTGTGGGCCCAGCAATTTGTATTTCAGCAAGGTCCTAATGCACAATAAACTGTGGAAATAATTGTCCTTAACCTTGGCATTGTGAATTATGGGTTGGTAGGTCCTAAAATAGTTGAAATTACTTAAAAAATGTAGTAGTAAGTTAGCTAATTTTTTTCCTTCTTAGTTGTTAAAGGAATTAGTTATATTTGTTAGTAAGAAAAAAAAAGCTTAGAAATAAATTCTCAAGGGGTCTCTAAAGATTACAAAAGACAAGAAAACAGGATCCCCAGTCCTGAGATTTCCTAGGGTCATCAGAGCTTGGTGGGGT